AACCTCAGAAACAGACAGGGTTTACTGTAAGTTGAATACAAATGTCTGAGTAATTATTCAAATTCATCGATGGTGGGATTTGAACTCCAGACCTCTTACATGGTGGTCTGACAACCTAACCACTACACTAAGATCGCCAGACTATATTTCTTTTAACTAATAATCTCTTATACTCTATATCTCTTATCTAATTTTTTTGAACTTTTTTTACTATTGTTTTTTGTTATATTTTAACTTGCTCTGCTAACAAATAAACTCAATAATATAAACTTTTTATTTCTCTTACTAATCTAATAATTTTAAAACAAAGTTTAAATATATTATTTGAGATATAATATATTATTAATATATACTTTCTATTTTTTGTTTAGACTATATCTAAAGCTTTAAAAAGTAGATTATTAAAACTATTTCTTAGATGATAATCAGAAAACTTCTTTTGTTTATTATTAAAGAATTGAAATATTATTATTGTTATTATTAATATTTAAACTTTTAAAATTTTTTAGTTTAAAAATTTTTTATCAAAAAAACTCTATATATATTTTTACTTCTACATATTATCTAACAAAATCTAAAAATTTCTATTAGTCAATTCTTAGCAAATTTTTGATACTTAAAAAAAGTCTACAAAAAAATTTGAAATTAAGTAGTTAAAGAATAATAAATTAGATATTTGTACTAGCTAATTACTAGTCAAGTATTCAATTTTAGCTTAGAATATAGTAATCTTAACTAATAAGTACTAGTAATACCTCTAAAGTTATGAAAAACTCTCTCTGTCGATCATTTTGACCATTTCTAGAGCTAAGAGAAAAAACCAAAAACTTAAAAATTTTACTAAGAAATAGTAACAAAGCCACTAACAAAAAGAAGAAAAAACTAAGAAATAGACAAAACAAAGATAAAAAACAAGAAAAAGAAGAAGAAAATAGAAGACTAGAAGAAGTTTTAAGAAAAAAGACTAAAAAAAAACAAAATTATTAGAAAAGTAGGAATTGAAGATACCTTGTAATATAGATCATTTAGAGTAATACAAACATGTAAAATTAAGGTAAACAAACAAACACGAGATAGTGAAGTTGTATATATTATGTGTCAAGTAGTAGAAGTATATATACCTAATCAAAACCAGATATTTTACTGGTAAAAAGAAAAACCTCAGAGAATTTTAGAAAAAAGGCAAAGTCACTTATAAGAACAAGAAAGAGAAGAACTGAGTAAAACATTAGATAGAAGAGACCTAAATAAAGCTAGAAGCAAAGTAAATTGAATATGTAGAACAAAGAAAATTCTAAGGTAGTGACTAAGAGGTTCATAGAAAAATATGAAAAAGAGTTATTTCAAAAGGGAAGTAGCAAAGCAGAAAAAATAGAGAAGTTCTTCGATAAAACAATTACATCAGCAATAAGAATTAATAAAGAAGAGTCACAGTAGCAAGGCAATAGAGAGAAGCAATAAAAAGAATTGCTACACTAAAAGGCCTAGATAAAGTAAAAGAAATAATAATACAAAAAGATAAACAAGAAGAGTTAGTTATAGATTTCCAGTAGATTTTTTGCAATTACATTTAGTGTTCTTTTGTTCTGTTGGTTTTCGGGTTTTCTGTCATTTCTTATGCTTTTTTTTTGTTAGTTGTAGATTTTTAGTAGGTCTTTTGTGATTATATTTAGTATCTTTTGTTCTGTTGGTTTTCAATTTTTTTTAAGTATTTCTTTTACTTATTTTCTTTTTTTTTCTTCTTTGGTTTGATTTAGAACTAGATTTAGCATATTCCATTTTATCTTTATTCTTGACTTTGGAATAGTAGTGTTGTATTAGTGTTGCAGTCATTGGAATTAATGTTATCTTTATTTGTAGATTTCTTTAGTATTTTTTTGTTTAAGTAGAGTTGCTGGTAATTACATTTTAGATTTTATTTGATACATTCGTATATTACTAACTTTTTTCTTATCTTTTTCTATAATTAGCGTTTATACAACTTCTATAATTTTTTTGTCTTTGTTTTATATTTATTTTAATTTTTTATTCAATTAATTTTATTCTAATTTCTTTTTTTTTTATTTTTAGAATGTGCAATTAATACGAATTTAATATATCATTTTACATCATTGTTATATTATTACTATGATGTTACAATATTGTAATCAATTGCTTGGTTTATATTATACCTCAACTAAAGAATACACCTCTTTATGGCAGTTGGAACTATTAGGAGATTTATTCTCTGAAGCTAAGTATTCCAGAAAATATTGAATAGGACAGTTCTGAATTTCATGTGGTATTGATTACATATAGCTATAAACAGTTTGGTTATCTGATTTTATTGCAGATAACCCTTGTAAAAAGGTAATAAAGAGAACACTACTCTGAGCCTAACCTTTGGATATAACAAACCTTACCCATGTTTGAGGCTATTGTTCAATTCACATAAGTAAAAATCATTTTGGTATGAGTTAGTGCCTATGAATATGTCCCTCACTTTTAAGAGTCTCGTGATATTTTGGCTTCCATATTAGCGAAACTCAGTAACTTACATTTTTATATAAGGCTAACAACATATCATTTTACAAAAAAAAAAATAAAAAAATAAAAATTTTATTCACGATTTCTTATAATTTAATAAAATGATTAAAACAAGATTTTATTTAATAAAAAAATAAAAATAAATAATTTTACCTATTTAATTTTTAAGATGTATAATTTTTGAAAATCGAGAGATTAAATTTACTAAAACCAACAAATAATAAAAAAATAAAACTGATAATGTAATACAATTTCGTGATTTTAAAGTGAGCAATAAAAATTTGAGCCAATCTTATTGAGAATAAATACTTTTTGATCAGAAATCGCTTATTAATCACTTTATGAATTTTATTTTTACCTAATTACTTAAAATTTTTTATTTAACCTGATTTGAATTATAGATCACTCTAAATTAAAACTAAATATTTCTAAAGATTTATATAATATTCATGTGTTAAATATATTCATACAGACCTTAACAGTGGTAATATTTTATAAGATCAACATATTAATGAAGAAATACAATCTTACATCTTAGATCTATTGTCTCGTTACAGGTAATCATTTGAGTAATAACATAATTATTGAAAATAATTAGGTTATACGTATTACATTTAAAGTATTCTACAAATGGTAAATTAGCTCACTACAATTAACAAGATGAAATCCGATAATAAATGACGAAAAAAAAACTTCCAGTAAACAATTAAAATATTTTAAACAAAATTTAACTTTAAAAATAAACAAAATATTTTAATAACAAAAAGTTAAAATTTAAAAAATAAAAAACCTTAATGTTCGTTAAAAAAAAGTTTTAATATAATTTATTAACTTTCTCACTTCTCGTTGAATATTAATTAAAAATATCTTCACGAAAAAAAAATTATTAGTCAAAATTTTATTAACAAAACATACAAAACAGTTCTAAGTAAATCTCACCATATACAAAATCGTTCGCAATAGATTATTCTATACGTATAAATAAGAAATAAAAAATTTACTTCAAAACTTTATATAATATTTTTATTCAGATTAAATTTAAGTCGAATTCAATAGATTTAATTTATTAAATTACTCACTTTAAGTTAATTACTTATAATTAATTTTCAATTTAAAACTCTAAAATACAATACATTAATCAACGTTATTAATAAAAATACATAAAAAATATAATTTTCAGAAAAAAAAATGCACCCTATTTCACAGGCCGAAAGTTATAATTCGGGCCAATTTTAAAAATTATCGGTTTTCTCGACGCAAATACAGGGTCAGATTTCTCTCATAATTCTGGCCAAATCTCAAAAATGAACCCCAAAAAAATCTCACCACTATCGAAAATCTCGACGCAAAAGTAGACCCCATTTTTCAGAGCCGAAGTTCATAATGCCGGCCCTGTAGAAAATGTTCAAAATCTTGACGGGCCCTGTAGCAAAATCTTACTATAGAAATTACACTAATTAAATCTGTAATGCGGGCCAAAGAAATTTAGGGTGCATCCAAAATATCGACACTTAATATAGGGGTCAGCTAAAGCGGGGTTAATTCAATATATGATTTACATATTACATAAATCGTATTCTTAATATTTATATATAAATAATAACATAAATGCATCAAAAAAGTAACTCTAACCCTAACTTCGCTTTAGTCTTCCTCTTAATATAGGGTTCTGCAAATGCCCATGCCGGGCATATTAGGCACTATGCCAGGCACTAGTGCCAGTGGCATTTCAATACTAGTTGCCTCAAAATGTGCCTGATATTTTTAGGTCAGGCACAAAGTTCTATGCCCTATACTCGTGCCTATGCCGAACTAGTACCTGTGCCCAAACAGTTGATTGTACATATGTCCAATTCCAATCGAAAATATGTCTATCATACTTAGTCAAACTGAATATAAGATTCATTCTAACGGCTATTCATTCTAATTCTTATTGTTTCTATTAATATCTTCATTAGTAACATACGCAAATTCTGTATCGTATAATAAATTGCATTACGAATTAGTGATGTCATAAGATCTTGCTTGATTTCCAACGATCGGTCGAAATCGACAAGTGATTCATCAAATCTGCCCATCATAGCATAAGCATATCCGCGACAGCATAAAGCAAATGCATTATATGGAATGATTTCTAATAATTTATTGAAATCTATGAGTGATTCATCAAATCTACCCATCAACATGTACGTATATCCACGATTACACAATGCAAATGCATTATCTGGGTCGATTTCCAATAAATTATTGAAATTTGTAAGTGATTCTTCACATGTATCCATCTTTTCATGAATATATTCTCGATTATTTAATGTTATTATATTATTCGGATCAATACCATGTATCATAAGCCGGTATTCAGGAAGGGAAGGCCCCTCTAAGCGCATAATTTTGGAGGTGGAGGGTTTATCCATGTCTTCGGCTTTTCTTTTTTTTCTAATTAGTTTATTATGATGTCTATAAAAATATTACTTTCAAAAAATGCTTGAAGCAAAAATTAATACATACGTCTCAAAATTATTATATTTTTTCCAACTTTCCTCAAAGTCTCTCGATGAGATTCTTTCCATTGCATGAAGCCAATCATGCAAAATGGTATGAAATTTAATATCCTTGGCCGAAGGCTTTATGTTAGAATTTTCTGACAAAGAACATCTCGAAGGATGAGGTAGAGGAAGGGATTGTGAAGTAATATTGTTTGTAATGAATTCAGCAGCTATATTTGTCGACAACCTCTCAAGTTCTGTTTTAATTTTGTTTAACAATGGGCGTTGAATTGGATCGGTAGACCAACATTGGGTGTAAATATTTATGTAATCTGAAGGCGTATGTGAAATGATTTTCTCTCGCTCATTTTTTAAAATTTTAACAATTATTTTCCACGAAGGAAGTCCATCGAACGGAGGAATCCCACTTGTGAGTTCCCAGAGCAATACTCCCAGACTATAAATATCAGATTTTTTATCGAGAATAACAATATTTCTTTCGTTCTCATTCACGAAGTATTTTGGATCAACGTATGCTGGTATGCCTACCATATAATGGCTTGAGCTGATGGAATCGTTCAATTGTTTTGACAGCCCAAAGTCCGCAATTAAAACATTACCATTATTTATGAGGATGTTTTTAGAATGCTAGAAAGAGTTAGAATTTATCATAATAATCCTAATATCTAAATTTAAAACTTACTAGATCACGATGAATGATATCATTAGCATGTAAATTTGTTAACCCAGAGGTAATTTCTTTTGCAATTCGGATAAGTTCGTTCCATGAAATTTTATAGATGCCTTCATGTCTCTTTGTTAATAGATAATCACGAAGGTTACCGTTATTTGCATGTTGTAACACAAGTGCGGTGCCCATTTGCGGATCTGGCATTTAATTATATTGCAATTAAACGTGAAACAATTTATTTTCAACTGAATCATTATCATACCTTCTAAAATTCCGTAGAATGTAATGATATGAGGACAGTTATTAACCCGGTGAAGAAGCTTAAGCTATATGTAAATGTACACTATGATATAGGATTATTCATGCGAATTTTCAGAAATCCCGAACAACGAATAATTACCTCTCGCATTACTCTTTTGAACGTTTTATAATCCATTGATAGATTATTTTTCAGATTTTTTAACACGTATTTCTCTCCTTGAAAACTGGCTACGTACACTATTGAAGATCCTCCCCTTCCGATTATCTCAAGATCACTAAATTGCGAGCGGGAATACATTTTTATATTATGTTTGTTCATATATGTCTTTAAAGGTTCCGAATATTCAAGTACTAATAATATTTATATTTTTGTTAATATACAGCAACGGGTTGTGTATGACTGAGAACTCAGTTGCTTACATGTTTTTGATATTGCACTGCTCGATTCATCACTTTCATCATTTGATATATTATTATTCATTACTCTAATTTGTTTTTATAATTTCAGAATTAGGATCAAGTTCTTTGAAACTAAATGAAAAGTTTCAGATTATTTGTGTTACATATACTGTTGTGAAACCCGTAACGTGACCAGGTCGGGTCTCCCCGCGAAACGGCAAAGTTACGTTGTTGATAGATCTACGGTTACTTTTGATCGTGTAATTATTGAGATATCTTCGCTCAAAGTTCAAATTATTTTGTTTGTTCTAATTCTACGAATATATGGAATTCAAATAAAAAATTTTCATCGATTTTGATCGGGCGGTTATTGAGATATCTTCGCTCAAAGTTAGTAAATAAATTCAAAACGCTTAATAAAATAAAAAAACGCGCCAAATTTCTTCTAAAACTTTGAGCGAAGATATCTCAGCAACTACCCGACCAAATTCGATAAATTTTTTTTGTTTTAATTATACAAATATATGGAATTCGAATAAAAAAAAATTTCATAGATTTTGGTCGGGCGGTTGTTGAGATATCTTCGCTCAAAGTTTTGGAAAAAAATTTGGCGTGAATTGATATTTTGAATTTGTTTACTGACTTTGAGCGAAGATATCTCAACAACTGTCTGACCAAAATCGATGAAATTTTTTTTATTCGAATTCCATATATTTGTATCATTAAAACAAAAAAAAAAAATTATAGAATTTGGTCGGGTAGTTGCTGAGATATCTTCGCTCAAAGTTTTAGAAGAAATTTGGCGCTCTTTTTATTTTGAATTTGTTTACTAACTTTGAGCGAAGATATCTCAATAACCGCCCGATCAAAATCGATAAAAATTTTTTATTTGAATTCCATATATTCGTAGAATTAGAACAAAAAAAAAAAAAAATCATAGAATTTGGTCAAATAATTATTGAGATATCTTCGCTCTAAGTTCAAAATTATTTTACAAAAATGCATCAAGAACACTACCTCAATTTAGAGGTAATTTAGGCCTATAACTTTTGCCGCGGAGCGTCTATGGGCACGCAAGACTAAAATGTGTGACAGGTTATGACAATTGTCAAATGATTTGTCTGACCCTTGATACTCAGATGTAGATAAATTATTATGATCTAATAATGATGATATTGTCTATCGCGTGTCATACTTCACATCAAACTAATTTTTTTTTATTTGCTCTTTCTTGAATAGTTTTGTTCGCTCTTGAATATTTTTTTGTTCATTCTTGACTATTTCATATAAAGTATAAGTCTATTAAGTCTATTATACTCTTATAAAATATACTGTGATAATATAAAAGAAATTTATAATAAAGTTTTTTAAAAGTTATACATATATATAGTTATTGAAAGTGTAAAAAATACTCTGAAGGTAAAAACTTAGTTTTTTGATAAATTAATTATTAAAGATATTTTAGGAAGAACTTTAATTTTACAACTGCAATAAACTTTATTAGAAACAAAGTTTTATCTATTTTTTTGTATAAATTAGTAATTATTAATTATATAAAATAGTTAAATTTTTTTTATTTTTTTATCAAGGTTTCATACTAATTAATTTTATTAGATAATTTTTAGATTTATATTAGTTAGTAAAAGTACAATTAGTTATATATATAATTTAAATTATTATTTATTTAAAGGTTTTATTATTAAGATTACCTACTAACTGCTATACTTAAGATCTATTTGTAGATCCTCTATTTAAGTCTTCTGATTTTTAATGCTTTTTCTGTAATACTAACTTAGATAACAAACATATACAGAACTATAGACTATTTTATCTATGAACTAGGTCTTTACTCTAGAATATTCGGTACTCATTTTATAGTATATTCAGAGATTTGTATCTTTGTTAATATTCATATGAACTCAGTTCCTACTATAGCTTTCTACTAGTAGTCTTTCAAATATTTCATGAAGTAGATCTTTCTAAATTTAGTTAGCTACTAAGCTAAGTTGGTGTTGCTATTTCTCCTTATGAAATAAACTTACTCACACCTAACTTAATTTGTATTTTCTACTACTGGATCAAGCATTAACTAGTGTAACTATTATTAAAATCTATACTACTTCATTTAACTCAAAATTTTTACCATGCAGGTTTTCTGCTCATAGATTCTATCAAGATTTATTCATGTAATATTATATCTCTCTGAATATCACATTATACTTCTAATATCTGATTAATATTAGTACAATATAATTTATAGAGTTACAACTTTAGAAACAAACAGAGTTTACTGTAAATTAGTTCAGAGGTTTGAGTAATTATTCAAATTTATTAACAGTAAGATTTAAATTCTAGACCTCTTGTATAGTAGTCTGATAATCTAACTACTATACTAAGATCATCAAACCTAATAAATTAATTTTATACTTATACACTATTTGAAGTTTATTAGGTAATTAATTGTAAATAAGTATTTGAAGATAAGTATATATAAATAAATATTTATATTCAGAATTTTAATTCTACTAATTAATATTAATAAATTATCTTTATACTTATATACTATTTAAAGAGTATCAGATAATTAATTAATTGAAATAAGTATTTAAAGTTAAGTATTTATAAATAGGTATTTATATTTATAATCTTAATTCTACTAATTAATGTTAATAAATTATCTTTATACTTATATACTATTTAAAGAGTATTAAGTAATTAATTAATTGTAAATAAGTATTTAGAAATAAATATTTATAAATAAGTATTTGTTTTTATAATTTTATTTTTATTTTTTAATGTTAATAATTTATCTTAACTGAATAAAATGATTTAAAGAGTATTAGATAATTAATTATTATTATTTTTTTTTTTAAGTAGTTTCCTTTAGTAATTAGATTTTATTAATTTGTTATTATAGAGTTACTATAGTAGTAATCTTCTAAAATTTTATAGTTATATAATAAGTATACAACAAGCTATATATATAATTTTAGTTATTATCTAATTAAAATAGTTTGTTATACAGATGATCAACTATTTGTTAGTTCTATACTATGCTACTTCCCTTTTGAAATAACTCTTTTTCATATTTTTCTATGAACCTCTTAGTCACTACC